GAGGAAAAACCATTTCATTTTGTCCTCTGCGGTTTTTGGCTGTGATTGAAGTCTGCCTTTTCTTTTGCCATGTGTGATGATCTGGCCAATGTTAGTATAGTATATTTAGTGATCTGCTAAAATATGGGAATGCCCATAAATAAACAGACAGATAAATAGATAAATAAATAGATAAATAAATAAATAAAATAAAGGAAGCCCCAAGCCTATAGTATGTGGGGAGAATTCCAAGACCATTTGGAATTGTTTATTATGGGTTTTTTTTCCTGAATTATTTATTGTTCTGCAAGACCAATATGGCTAAATTAACTCATAAATTAATCCATCATAAAAAGCTGGGAGATACCCTTTTTATTGGCTTCCTATTTGAACATCCACAATGGAGTTGGAAAGTGACTATTATCAGTGGCAATACTTGCTTTCAGGTTTTTTTTTTTTAATTTTAATGTTTATTTATCTTTGAGGGGGGGGAGAGAGAGAGGGAGACAAAGTCAAGCAGGGGAGGGGCAGAGAGAGAGGGAGACACAGAATCTGAAGCAGGCTCCGGGCTCTGAGCTATCAGCACAGAGCCCGATGCGGGGCTCGAACTCACGAATGATGAGATCATGACCTGATCCGAAGTCAGTCGCTTAACCAGGTGAGCCACCCAGGTGCCCCTCCTTTCAGCTTTTTATAGACTGAAGCTTCCTGACTTGTCCATAAGAATTTTCATTTTTCCAATGTCTTGAGGTCATCTGGGAGCAGTGGAGTTTGGGACACAGGCAGACATGGGCAGCAGTGTAGATTCTACCGGTCTCCATTAGTGCAACTTTGGGAAGCTTGTGAACTTGTGATAGCAGTATCTGCATCAGGGGTGGCTGAGACGTTTAAGGGGGAGAATGAAGGAACAGTGTCTGGATCAGTGGCTGGTACTTAGTAGATGTTCAATAAATCCTGTCTTCCTCCTGGAGATTGGCCATGGAAACTCCAGTGGTCTCCATGGGACCCCCCTGGGAACTCTAGAAAAACAGGTCAGGCCCCTGCAAGAGGGAAAATGATTTGTCTGGCACTACCTAGATGGCAGGAAGTGGAGCCCGGCTCAGACCTGCCCCTTTTTGGCTTTTAACCCCATATAGTCATTTATTGAGTGTATATTAAGTGTATATTATTGAGTGTAGATTAAGTCATCATTTATTGAGCGTATATTAAGTTCCAGGTATTTACAACAGTCCCATGAACAAGGCTTTGGGCATCAGGACAAGGCGTCAGGACACTGATGCTCAGAGAGGCAAAACTACTTGCCCACATTCGTACATCGAGTGTGTGTGATGGCGCATTCCCTGTCCGTGGGATTCCGGCGCCTTTGTGTCTCACATTGTGTTTTGCCATCAGAAAGAGGTTCTGAGATTGATCAGCACGTTCCAGGTGCAGAGGTCAGAACTCCAGCCAGATGTACAGAGATGAGCGAAGGGTATAGCGTTAGTGAGCCGAACCCTTTATGCTCCTTCATGTCCTACCAGATGTAAAAGTTCAATCAGCGAGAACACCTCCAGCCAGCAAAAGATCTACTTCCTGTCCGTCTTTTTTAGGCTGTGTTCTCCTGATGACTTTCAAAGGGGCTTGGAGCCCAGATTAGTTCGACAGAATAACAGAGCGAACCAGCTTTGTTCCCACAAACACCACTTCCAAGTCGCTATGAGGTAACTTCAGTTCACTGTCCAGCTTAGACTGGAAGGGCCAAGCTCTGGGGAGTCCCCCACACCCACGGCAGAGCCAGCATCTGGATGCCCAGATCGAAGGGTGGACACAGAACGTCCGGCCCATCCCTTGGCCGGTTAATGCAAAGTTAAAGCTCTTAAAGCTTCAGCGTCCCAGAAAGATCTTGGCAGATGACAGCAAATTGGAGGAGAATAGACCCGGGGAGGAAATACCGTTTGCAGCCTGGGCGGCTTTTACATCCACTGTCTCTTCTTTGCTGCCGAATTTCAGGCCTGTGACTTTCTGACAAAAGACTTTTCTGGCCCAAACCTGTAGACTAACACTGTGAAAAAACCATGCACAGAAGTGGAGTCAGATGGGACCAATGGACCTCACAGTTCTGAGCCTCTATTCTCTTTGAGGAGACTGAGCAGAGCCAGGAAACAGGGTGGATTTGCCACTTCCTTGCAGAGTGGCTTGGGCCAGCTTCTTACCTTTTCTTGACCTCAGGGTCCACCTCTGTAATAGGGAACAACAATGGTCCTTATCTCAGAGGCTGTTAAGGAAACCCTTAGAACAATCTCCAGGCCATGCTAAGTGCCATGTAGGTGGAATGTATGCCATTATTATATTTTCTCACGAGAAAGAAGGGGATAATGATAGCACATACACAGGATTGTTAAGGAACAAACGACTGGATATTCCTGAAGGACCCAGCGCTATGTAGGCACTAGGATGTACGTACTGGGTCTCATGCAGAGAGGCTGACCAGAGAGGAGCCTCTGAGACTGTGGGTCTGGGGATTCCGGAGACAGAGGCCCAAGTCTTGTGTCTGCCAATTACCAAATAAATATTTTGCAGACCGTGTTATTAGCATACGCCATTTGTTGTTCCAGGAGGTGATATTTAAGGAAAAAGAAAACGCCCGGTAGGCAGAAGGGTGGACCAGGGTAAGGAGTCCTGGCTTGGAACCCAACTCAACTGTTGGAGACCAGTGCAGCCTTGGGCGATCTCTCCTCCACCTTGACTTTGAGTAGTCTCTCTTCCGTGGAAGGACAGTGTAGGTGATGTTCCTTGGAATGCTAACAGCAATATTATTGCCACGGGGTCTCACGCTCATCCACCGCTGGTGGGAATGGGAAACGGAACATCGCGCGAGCGAGCCACGTTGTCGTGTCTAGATCAGATGAAGGTGTATGTGCCCACCTCCTCTGCATGATGTGTCGGAAGCTTTATGTTTGTTCATGCCACATACCGTTTTGAGCCTCCATTATGTGTGGGCACTGTTCTGAGAGCTGGGGATACACCAATAAGCAGAACGGATAAAATTTTGGCGCGAGAGGGGCAGGGTAGACCAACAAAAATAAGATGAGAACGTGCTTAAGAGACACTGAAAAAGAAGGGCAAGGGGCCGGGAAAGTCGCGCTGAGAAGGTGGTGTGGCTGTCCAGGGTCTGCTTCCGCAGGAGATGGGCTATGGTCCCAGCGTGGTGCCTGGCTCACAGTAGGCTTGAGTAAAAGGTTAGATGAGCTAAAGGCTTAATGAGTAGAACCTGAATCCTGAAAAGACTGATTTGGATGCAGATGTGAATAGTCAGTATATCTTCATCCGAAATGAATTAGTTCTGACAGTTTCCAGAGCAGAAAGAAAATGATTACATTACCATTATTTTAAGCCTGAGAAGCACAGGGGGAACGAGGCACACATTCTCCTCCCGAACCAGCTCAAGCTTTCGAGGCCCCGAGAGGCGTTATTTGCACTTTGCTGCCCCCTGGTGGTGATATAAAAATATAGCCGGAACTCCAGGACCCCGGAAGTTTGTTGACCTCCAAGGTAAAACATGCCAGTGGGCGTGCGCCTCCATCATTGCGGTACTGGGGTTAAACTATCAGTGTGCTGACCACGTCTTTCAAGTCCAGGAGTATGCACGGAACGACTTTCAGGCTCAAATGGCTAGATTACGTGAAAGAACTATTTCAGGTAAGTCAGTACACTGGGGCATGTTATTTCCCCTATTTTGGAGCGGGTCATTTCTGCACAAATATTGCTCTTCATGAATTCACGATGACTGTAACGGGGTCAGAGCTCATAGGGACCTAAGGTATTTCTCAGTCTCAGAATTGCAGGAATGTTTCCTGGGGAGTCCATGTGTGGACTTTAGGGAACCTCTGTAGAGGTTAAACGCTAAACAGGGGAAACCCTATTCCCAAAATGTATAGGGAAGTGTCCGATCCAAACAGCTGGGGAAACTCTGGGCCAGTTGTCCAAGGTGAGTCCACCATGAAAAGAGAGACTTGTGTTTGATTATCACCATCGTTCTTCTGGCTGGAACATTCTATTCCGTTTATACACACATGTCCATCTCTCACTTTACCTGGTATCAGTATGGTGGTAATGAGGTCACCTCTGTCACTGTCTTGTGGCAAGTTTCCTAACCATCCTGAACCTCTGTTTTCTCATCTAGTGAAAGAAGAAAAGAATATCTATTAAATAAAATTAATCAACACTTAAGGGTGGGCACATGTGAAACTAGACTACCAAGCACCCATTAGATGCTTAACAAACAAATGCTTCTGAAAGTATGCTCATTAAACATTGATATTTATATAGAATTATAAAGTATTCAAGATTCATAAATGATACGAAGACTTATCTTATGCATTATTCCTGGTATTATATTCCCCGGAAGCTGTGAACGATCCATCAAATGGTGAAAATTTATGATTGATGGACTTTGTCTGTTTTCTTCCAGGTGTATTTCTATCAGGGAATACTTTGAAAGCCATTACGAGGAAAATTTTGCTGTGTTTGTGTTTGAAGATAGCGTGCTGACCCCATTTCTGTTCACACTTGGTTTTGATTGAGAATAATAGTCTATTATAAAGGCTAATGTTTGCTACGTCATGTACGTGGCAAAACTGCCTTGGGTCTGCGTCTTGGGGCTTCTCTTTGTAGAATCAGCTGCTTTCCTCTTTTCTTTTAAATCTTTATGGTTCTTGTTTTTACTACTCTAACTGTAATATGTGATTATTGTAAATACTATCGAGACATTGCAGAAACACAGGGCCTATAAAGAACACATTTTCTACAATCCCAACCTTCTCTCAAAGGTTTGGCATATTGTGTTCATTTTATTTAATGAATATACTGGTGTGTGTGTGTGTGTGTGTGTGTGTGTGTGTGTTAACAAAAATGGACCGTACTAACATGTTGTTTTGCAATTGATTTTTATAACCTTTATACATCTTAGATAAGCTCTACGTCAATCTGCCTGCTCTCTGTCTCTGTCTTTGTATCTCTCTCTCTCTAACTCTTGTGTAGTATTCCACAGCGAGGTATCCCTGTTGTAACCCCAAGCTTCCCTTCCAGGTCGCCTGCTGCCTTTGATCCACAGGGTAGATCAAAGATCTCATCCACGCAAGGTCTCTCCAAGACTGGAGAAAAAGAAGCAGTAAGTGAGAGTGTTCTCGCGAGAGACTGCAGAGCAGTGAGCAGTCATGGGTGGTTGACGGAGGAGGCTGAGGACCTGGAAACATTGTGGACAGTGCTCCTTGGCAGGTAAAAGATGCACGGTACTCTGCTGATCCCATCTCACCTGTAAGAATCATAGACTTGAATTGGTGCGTTCTTATGACTTCTATTTTAAGCCTCATTGTCATTCATTCAATCAACAAACATTCTAAACTATCTACTATGAGGGGATCAGAGCTGCTGAAATCAACTTGCTTGATAGATGAAAACTGGTTATTATACACAAGGCAATAACCAATTGCATTCTGCTGGACATGATTCCTTTGTACTCCTCTGGACAAGACTAATTTGCATTCTCAGTTTTCTATGATTTATAGAGGAGTGAGCTAGTTTAAAGACAATGAAAGGCAGAGATAATCCAGAAAGGTGTATTCGACTGGTCACTAAGTATATTTGCTGCCCATTTCAACTCCCCTGACAAATGTCACATGAATATCCAACTGCAAATACGTGGCATGTAAGTAAGTGCTAAGCCAATGGATATAAAGGCAGTTAAGAAACAGCAGAACGGATCCATTTGTGGGGTGGGTGTTGGAAAAGGCAAGAATACCGCTGAGAAATGGATCTATGAGGGCAGGAAAGTATGATGAGTGGCGGAGTTGCTGTATGTACCTTGTTCCCGGCTTCGGCCTCATGCCTGTGTTTCTTGCCCTCAGGTTGAATTTCCTTTTTGAACCCAGCTTTCTTGGCGTTGACCCTTAGTTCTCTGGTTTGTTACTGTCCTAGTGATTGACACAGTATCTCCTTGTTCTGTTCCACATGGAGCGACCTCCTTCCTTGATCCCTACCCCAAATCGGACCCGTCTCTAGACCCATGTGAGTAAATCTGACCTCACCCGTTGTTTGGCCTGGTGGAGATAGGGGTTATACAACCGCAATGCAAATCATTCAAAACCAAATGCCAGTGACCAGAATCCCTTTCCTAAATGTCCCTTTAGCCACTGCCGTGCCACTCGGCTAGTTTCTTTTCATTTCTTCCTGTGTCTGCTTCCCTTTCTTTGTCCCCTCTTTTTCAGAAGGGAAAACCGAAACTCTCTTCATCTCGTTTTGCGGAGTTGCCCAACTCATCCCTAGCCCTTTTCCCTCCCCGCAAGTTCAAATCCAGACCATCTTTTGCATGTAAAAGACTCGTATCCAACATTGTTCTTAGTTGCAGGTGACAAAAATGGATTCCGGATGAATGAAGCAGAAGAGCTTATGGAGGGAAAATTAAAGCGCTCAAGAACCACCGAGGCTGCTGGCGAATCAGGCCGTCTCCTAGGAGACCGGGAGACCAGAGGGAAATGATGTGGAGTCACTGCTGGCTGGTGGGTGGCCCATGGGTCACGGGTCTCCACCACCACCACTGCCCCTGCAGGCTGGTCCTGCCTCCCGTGGGGACCCACACACATAAGAAGGGGTTCGAGATCCTAGAAATAAAATGACTGCTGGCCACCACAGCTCATTAGAATGCTTTGGTAAACGAGGAGCTATCTTTCTGGATCTCTCTCTCTCTCTGCCTGTTCTTTCTCCTTCCACTCAAGGCTCTCTAGGAGGAGCTGTCCTGGATAGAGACCTTTCCCATTGCTGATCTGAGTTGTGTTCCTCCGTTGCCTGCTTTCCACTGTCTGCCTCTTAGAAGGAAGAGTGGGTTGCAATCAAATTTTTGGAGGGAGCTATGGTCACTTTGGTTTTAAGCATTTTGTTGCCTGTGACTTCACTTTTACCTATTTTAATCTCTATGACAACCCTAGGAAGTGGGTATTGTTATTCCCACTTTACAGATGAAAAGTCGAAGCCTTAGGGAGGTTATGTGATTCCAAGATTGCACATCTAGAAATGGAGGAGACGGATTTCAAACTCAGGGCTGTCTGATTCCAAAGTCCGTGTTCTTTTTTTTTTTTTTTTTTCTTACTGTTTGTGTGTTCATTTATTTATTTATTTTTAAAACGTTTTTCATCTCTATTTATTTTTGACAGAGTGCAAGTTGGGGAGGGGCAGAGAGAGAGGGAGACACAGAATCTGAAGCAGGCTCCAGGC